ACCCTGGAGGGCGAGGAGGCAAGCGGCTCACTCTTTCCATCTGCTGGGAGTTCAGTTGGGACCCCAAACTGGGGAGCAACCCCTGCTATCACTTGCTCCTGTGCTTGCGCCCATGGGACTCTTCTGGGAAAGGAGTCATTTCTCTTGGTAACCATTTGCCATCAGGGAGGTGGATCCTCCCTTCCAGGACCTGGGAAATTCCCATCCCACCACAAACAAGAGCCCATGTACACACACCCACACAGTCACACTCATAACACACTTGTGAGCACACACAGTCACACTCATAGCACACTTGTGAGCACACACACTTATACTCACAACACACTTGTGAGCACACACACTCATAACACACATCTAAGACATAGCCTCACTTGTCTTTAATGCACTCCTAACACATTCAATTGGCACACGTGAATTGCACACCCTCATGAGCATACTCACACAGCACACAAATCTGCAGCGCACAGGCACAGCTGGGCTTATGTTGCTTTCTGTGAAGGTGGGGAGCTTATTTTCTTTGGTTATCCTGATGATGCCTCAGGTAAAGCTAGGTCAGACCAGGCTGGCACAATGCCCAAGGGAGGGTTCTCTCTGCTGCAAGGCCTAGGAAGCTGAGGGTGGGAAGAGCGGAAGCCCCGGAGGAGCTGAGGCTTTAGAGGAGCGGAGACCCTTGGAGGAGCTGAGGCCCTAAAGGAGCTGAGACCCTTGGAGGAGCTGAGGCTTTAGAGGAGCTGAGACCCTTGGAGGAGCTGAGGCTTTAGAGGATCTGAGACCCTTGGAGGAGCTGAGGCCCTGGAGGATCTGAGGCCCTGGAGGAGCTGAGGCCCTGCTCCTTTTCCTCACCTGTCTAAGCAGCTTGCTGAGACACCTCCTTTGGCTCCTTGCAATCCCAGGAGTCACAGCGGCCCAGCCTTATGCTCTCAGATGGAGTCAAGGAAGCCAAAGAGAAAACAAGACAGGCTATCCACACTCAAATGCTAGAGAATAAAACTCCAGAGGGGCTAAAACACTGCCACACCTCTGAATGTCTTCAGAATTCCACACACTACCATTTGAAAAGAACCAGGCAGGCTGTGCGCCGTGAGACTGTAACCACAGGTCGCTCTGGAAAAAGCAGAGCAGGCAGACAGTTAACTGCTGGTGGTTGTCTGGGACGCAGGGCCGGGGAGGGACATGGGGAGGGATGGGTGGAGCGGGAAGAGCAAGGAAGCTACTCTGCAAGACACTGTCATTTGGGACACATGCTGCTATACATTCTCTAAATGCTAGAATATCCAGCCCATCAGTGTGTCACTGTCCCCCTTAAAACAAGGTGTCAGTCATAGGGAGTCGGCGTGAGGACAGGGAGGGGCTGTGTGAGTCTCTTTGTATGCTCATCAATTTTTCTGTAAAGCTGAAAGTGCTCTAAGAAAATAAAGTCTTTCAATTTCCAACAAAACAAAAGTCTAGGAGGATCATCAGTCCAAGGGCCTGATCATCCCCCCCCCGCCTCTCTTCTCTCCTCTTTTCTCTCTCCTCTCTCTCTCCCTGGGGCATGGGCAGTTTTGGGGAGTCCTGTCCCGTTTCCCCTGCAGATGTGAGCCTTGTCCCTTTCAGCAGAGTCTGGGTGAATGGCCAGCCATGCTCTGTGCTCTCAGGATGACCCTGTAACCTGACCAGCTCCTGGCCTCATCTGGAGACACCCCTGGGGCCTCCTCGCCTCCCTGACTCCAGGCTGTGCCTGGGGCAGCCAGCCAGCTGGGGCCTGTCTCCAGTTGCCTTGACAAATCACCACTTAGCCTGGAGGTGCCAGGACATGATTCACTGGAGCACTGATGACTAAGGCTCTCTGGCCAGCCCTCCCATCATGCTGTGGCTCTGGCATTCCCTGTGGATGTCGCGGCAGGGTATTGCCAGCTGGCTAAAGCCGTAAGAACTATGGCTGAGGTGCAGTATCCACTCCATCTGCCCACCAGAGCTCCTGCCCAGCAGCCAGCCCTGGGTGGCAAAGGCCATATCCTGTTGATAGGGGCAGCAGCAATGTGTTCGGCAACCATATCAGTAACCAGAGCCTGAGATACCTATCGAGTGAGTGAACAGTGATGAGTTGCTCCCTCTGTAGCAGTAACAAAATCACTCCATTTCATGTCCAAGGCTCAGTTTTCTTTCTTTCTTTCTTTTCTTTTCTTTTTCCGAGACAGGGTTTCTCTGTATTGCTTGGAGCCTGTCCTGGAACTCGCTCAGTAGATGAGGCTGGTCTCAAACTCACAGAGATCAGCCTGCCTCTGCCTCCCAAGTGCTGGGATTAAAGGTGTGTGCCACCAACGCCCGGCTCATTTTTCTTAGTAACTCTTTTCTCTAAGCAGACACAGACAGACAGACCCTAAACCCATTTTTCCCCATTTGTTTCTCCAGCTTTCTCAGCCAGCCTTGAAGAGAATGGACTTTATAGAACATGATCAGGCAGCCAATTCCTCCATGTGCCAAGTTAGTGGGGATTTGGTGCGTTTCTAGGTATTGAGAGAAGGAAGCTCAGGGGCTTCTCAGGACACCAAGCCCACTTCCTTCTGGATCACTGGTGGGAAGGTGTCACAGCCATGCTCCTCCCAGACAAAGTTACTGTTTTTCTTGGATTCACTGACGTGACCCTGCTTGTTGCCCTTACAGACAGGCCTAACCTGGCAGGAAGGCCCTATCACAGTCCTGATGCTGATGGGAGGGCCAGCTGGGACCCTGCCAAGGTCCTGTCCTCACTCCATACCTTGATGTCCTCCCAACTAGCCATTTGAAAATTTACTGATGACACGGGACATAGGAAGAAGCATGTAACCCTAGAAACCACCCCCCAAAAAGTCAGTCTTCTATGAATCTGCTTCTCTGGGGGGTCCTGCACTCCAGCAGCAGGGATACTTCTTATACCACCTAGGCAGAACTGAACCCTTATGTTGGCCATTAAATAAACAAACAAGGGGCTGGGGAAATTGCTCAGTGGTCCCCACACTTGCTGCTCAACTACGAAGACTAGAGTTCCAATTCCAGCATCCACTTTGGATAGCTCATAAACACCTGCTGCCACGCCAGCTCCAAGGAATACCCTTTTCTGGCAATTACACACACACACACACACAGAGAGAGAGAGAGAGAGAGAGAGAGAGAGAGAGAGAGAGAGAGAGAGAGAGAGAGAGAGAGAGAGAGAGGAGAGAGAGAGACATACAGAAAAATCTTTAAAACAAGTCAATAATGATCCAGATGTGGGGGTGCACACTTTTAATTCAAGCACAGTGGAAGGCAGAGGTAGGAGGATCTTTTTTAGTTTGAGGCCAGCCTGGTCTACAGAATGAGTTCCAGGACAGCTAGGGTTACACAGGGAGAACCTGTCTCAAAAACCAAACCAAACCAAATAAACAATTAATAAAACACTGAATCAGACAATTGTTCCCAAGAGCAACTACACTGGCCAGCAGGAAGAAAATGGCAACTTCCACAGTGGTGACCCTGGACCCTCACAGGGAGCCATCCATCCAAAGCAACCAGATATGATTTGTTCCCAATGAATGGAAAAATACACCACCTGTGAGGACATCTCACTATCATCCCTACCATCATCGCTATCACCATGACCACCATTACTATCTCTATAGTCACCATGACCATCATCATCATCCCACCATTACTATCTCTATAGTCACCATGACCATCATCATCGTGGCCATCTCCACCATCATTCTCATCATCAGTATCATGGTCATACTGAAATACAATTAAGCTTCTGGATTAATCCAACTTGGGAACAGAGGCGCGCGTTAGACAATGTAACGTGACAGGAGTGCAGTCAGTATCCTGGGTGTAGGAGACTCTAAAGGACAGTGACCAGGCTTCTTCAATGGTGCCTGATAGATGAAGGAAGAGGAGAGGAGGGGGGTGGGAGAGTTGGGGAAGGGGTGAGTGAGGATGGAAGGGCTGAGGATGGGGTGAGTGGCGGAGCTTGAAGGAAACCGCAGAGTTATAGCTGTGGACTTTGTATGCAAACAAACCAACTTGAAAAAGGCAGTAGACAACCCAAGGACTTTCAGCGGTGACTACCAGACCATATCAGAGTCCGTTAGTGCGTTAGATGTAATAAGAGCATGGCGATTATGCTTTTAAAAAAAGCCCTAATTCTATAGAGCATTTTCCTGATGAAATGGGGTCAGAGGTTGCTTTTAAAGAACTCGGGAAGAATTTGGGGAGAGGGGTATAGAGGAACCACAGATAGACCCACTGAGATGGGCTGCGATATTGCTCTCTCTCTAATGTTCTCCATGTCTGAAAAATATATCATGAAAAGCTTCAGATACATGGCCAGAAATGAAACTATGAGGAGTGAACCTGAACTGTGGGACCCAGATCAACTCTATTATCACCAAGGTAGAGCTGAGGGTCCAGCAGGGAGGTAAGGAGCCTATACTTAAGGAATGTGCTGGGGCGGCACTTTTACAATGCTTAGATTCTAACTTTGACCTTTTAGAATACACAAGATGCCTTTGCACCACAGTCCATGTGTTATTCTGGTACATTTGTTCATGTGGCACGCATTAAAAATAAGTACATGCACACATATTAGGACTGTGTTCTTTGCACTGCGTTGCTGAAGGATGGGATGGAGGCTGAGAAGTTGGCTCAGTCTGTAAAGTACTTGCCTGGCATGCTCAAAGAACTGAGTTCAGTCTCTAGAGAACCGCTATAAAAACAGCAGGGCATTGGGAAGGTAGAGAGGGAAGCGCCCTGGGGCTCTCTGAACATACAGCCTATCCTACCTGGTGTGTTCCAGGCCAGTGAGAGACATTGTCTCAAAAAAAAGAAAAGATGATTAATGCCTAGGGAACAACACTCAGGCGTGTCCTTTACACACACACACACACACACACACACACACACACACACACACACACACACACTCCTGGGGACCACCTTTCTCAAGAACTCCTGAACTCCCACTCCCACAACAGAGTATCATTCCAAGTTCTTCCCTTGCCAACCTGAAGTCACAGAGTCTGGGCCACACAGCTGAGCACTTGCCACGCTCCATCATCATCTGATGTCCTCACAAAAGTGGCATCTTCCTGGAGCTGCTCATTTGGCCTTGGGGTCAAGCACGACTCCCCTGACAGAGCAGAAATACCAGGGTTATACTGTGAGCAGCCTCGGAAGTGCCATCAGCCGATGGAATTGGGCCCCAATGCCCTTTAACTGTCCGGCCAAGCAAAGCCAGTAAGGAGTTAGTCTCTTCCCACAGTGCCCACCCACACACCAGTCATGCACAGCAAGGTCCTGTCCCAGCTCATGCCCACTAGCGGCATTCCCCATTGCAGCTCTCACGGGGCACACCCTTGCTCTGGTGGGCTTGTCAGTCACTCAGGCAGGTTGTGGTTGGCCTGGAATGTCTAGACACACAGGAGAGCATTCCTAGGCTGCTCCTGCCTGCCTGGCAGGTGTGTGGCTGCTTCTTCTAGCGTGAGTTCTTGGATGACTCTGACACAGCGCTGAATGTGGAGGACCCAAGAGGGAGAGTGGGGCTGCATTTTATTAACTGAGGGCCCGTGAGTGAGCTTCCCCCACCCTGGCTGAGCATTGCCACCACACTGCAGGGTTTTAATCTTGTTTGGTTTAGTTGATCTCAGGTAGGAGCCCACTTAGTCTGAAAGAATGGTGCTGGCATCACAGCAATAGCTGCAGGGGCTCCACTTTGAGGTTGGGTGCCTTGGCAAGACTGTGGCCACCCAGGGAAGGGATCCCCAACTCCTGGGTTGTTGATCCTGAGAAGCAAAGTTTAGATCAGGCAGAGCTGGGCACACCCCTCGGTTTCCACCCTGGCTTAAATTTCCTTGCAGCTGCCAGGTTGCTCCCATGGCTCAGGAGGAAACTAGGCGGCCAACACACACTTCAGGGCCTCAGAACATTCCAGAGTACTGGGCATAGCAGGCCTGATTGCTCAAGGCCAGAACACACACTGACCACATCCTGACCTCAACATGGCTCCTTGAAGGCACTTGGTTACATTTATTAGCCAAGTCCTTCACAACTAAAAACTTTGAGGCGTCCAAGTGTATTTTTTCTTCATTCTCAAAACACATATTCCAGGGCCCAGCTCCAGGTATCTCAGCCTCTGGGAATCCCCTTGCCGACACTTGATACTAGCAAGGGAGCAGAAAAGCCTCCAGAAAGCATACTGCTTTCAGAACACATGTGGCACTTGGGGGTGTGGGACACCATCCTCCTGTGAGCCCTGCTGCTGAGCCTTTCCATCAGGAGGCCTCCATGTGGCTCAACCCAAAGCCACACAATCTGACCGCATCCCACTGGGCCACAGACAGAGACAAACCCATGCAGCCTTCCCTGTTCTGCTACAAGTGCAGGTTTTCCTCACCTCGCTGCCACAGCTGCAACCATGCTCCCACCTCCCTGCAAATGTTGAGGTTTTTCTGAGGGGGCACTGCCTTTCCCACAGCATGCTGCTGTCCACACTGGCCCTTCCTTCTGGATGGTGGGCTTTGAACGGCTGTGTGAGTTTAAATGGTTCTGAATAAGCCCGGTGTTGATTCCTACCACAGTCTGATAATCAGCTTCGGAAACCCCCACCACCTGCCAACATCTGCTTAGTTTCCACAGTGACAAGTCAGCTGTCTTGGGACAAACTGCATAGGAACCTACCAACACTGCTCTATTCAGAGCTGTTGCCTGCACCAGGCAGTCACCCAGGAGTAACACCGCTGAGCAGGAGACAGTTAGACACCCCTCACCAGTGGTGTTACATAGGCATCTTATAGTTGGAAGGGGTCCACACAAGCCTGCCACAAGATGCTGTGCATTCCGTGAACTCCACACATGGTGTGGGCATGTGTGCTTTCTAGACGTGGTCCTTCCTCTTCTGCTCTGGATCCTGTGTTTCATCAAAAGCCATGGAGCCACAAAAAAGCATGAAGCAAAGCTGGAGTTGTGACTCCCATGCCCAAGGCCCTGGATTCCATTCTTGGCACCATAAGAAAAGAAAAAAAAAGGGAGAGGGGACTTTGACCCATGTCAGTATGTAAGAGAAGGCAGGCTCAAATGGCACCAACCCTATGATTCTCACTACACGACATCCTGGACACAGCTAAACTGAGACAGTGAGAGGTCAGCATGTGGTGGTGTGTGCCAACTGTCACCTTAACAGAATCTAGAACCACACGGGAGATGGGCTCTTGGCCTGCTTATGGGGGACCATCTTGACTATGCTATTGGAGTAGGGAAGACTGGGGGACATGACTCCCTGGCTGGGATCCCGGCCTGGATGGACAGAGAAAGGCAGCTGGGTGGTGGCCGCACTCATCACTGTTTGCTGATTGTGGATGCCACGTGATCATCTGCCTCAAACTCCTGCTGCCTTGACTTCCCCTGCTTGATGGACTGTGTACCCTGAAACTGTGAGCCAAAATAAATCCTCTCTCCCTTGAATTTCCTTTTTCTCAGAGTATTTTTATCATATGAACAGGAAGGAAACGGAGACATGGTGATTGTCAGGGTTAGGGAAGGAGGGAGGAGTGGGCAAGACATGGAGGACAGAGAAATGCTACAGTGGTGTCCAGACCCACAGGATGCAAGGCACCAAGAGTGGGCCCAAAGCTCCTGGACCCAGCTCCTAACCATCATTAATCACGGTTCATGAGTTGGGTAAATGTCCCATCTAAAACAAAGCCCAACAGGACCATGAGCAGAGCACATGAGAATTCTCTTGCCTTCTTTCTAATCTTTCTATAACCTAAATATATCCTTACAGCTCTGCCGACTTAAAGAGAAGCCAGGAACAAAGTCAATGTGCATGGAAAAAATTAAATACTAGCATTAGGGGCTAGACAGATGGCTCAGCGGTTAAGATCACTGGCTGCTCTTCAGAGGACCCAGGTTCAATTCCTAGCACCCACATGGCAGCTCACAACTGTCTGTAACTCCAGTTCCAGGGGGATCTGATACCTTCACACCAATGCATATAAAATAAAGTTAAATAAATTATAAAAAATAAAATCATTAAAGACAAAATGTGGAGGTCAGAAGACAGTGATCACCTTTAATGAACTATTTTATATATCCATGGCCAGGGGAAATCCCTCAGGGATGATTTCAAGTGAGGAGATTCTCATATTAAAGAACCCAAAGAGATTTCACTACCAGAGACTTTCCAAAGGACAGATGGAGACTACCTCTGAGCATCCGAGACCTTTAGGAATGGAGGAGGAGAAAGAGGAGTTGGTGTATGCCCATGTCTCTGGGGGATGCTTTGACACTGATGTAAAAACTCCTTAAAACGTGCGTAACTGGTGAAACAGCACACAAAGCTAGTGAGGCTTCCGGTGTTTGCAAACATGGTTGTCACTTTCTGATGTTGTGACGGGGTATCTGAGAATATAATTTAATGGAGGAATGGTTTGTTTGAACCCAAGGTCTCAGCGATTTCCACCCATGGGCAGCTGCTCTGTTGCTTCTAAGCCTGTGTGTGGGGAGGCAAGACATCCTGAAAAGGAGCAAGTGGTGGAGAGAGACAGACAAGAGAGACCCACCTCAAGGCAGACAGGAAAGAGAGTGAATAATGGATCTGGGACAAGGTAGAACCTTTTAACGATCTGCTGCCCGGCCCCCTTCCAATGTTGCCAGCAAACTATAAATCCATGGGTAGATCCACCCACTAGCTAGCTGAAGCTCTCATAATCCATTTACCATCTAGAAGTCTATCACTGCCAAGCAGCCCTTACCACACGAGTGAATTTTGAGGACACTTCACATTCAAGGGACACATCCTCCCTGCCTCCCAACGGCTCATGCTCATCCTACAGTGAAGACTGCATTGGGTTTATCTCCTCAGCCTTGCCTGATGAGTTCTCTCTCCTGGGCCAGCTCTGCTTACTGCCCATGACTTTCTTCAGTAGATAAGCCATGTTCCTACCATCCATAACTCCCTGGATGTCATTTTCAGCACAGATGTCATCCCTACAGCTCCAAGCATAGAACTCTCTCAGAGATCCCAACCCTCACAGGGACTCTGTGCCACACATAGGTCCTCCAAGACCTTACTTTGAAGTTTAAGTGGAAGTTTCCGTGACTCCACAACTCCTTGCATTCTGGGTGTTTGCAAAACCAGCACCAGTGGATAACACAAAGTTCTGCCATTAACATGAGCAATAGCTTAGTCCCCCCCCCTTGGACTCATGATCCAATTGCTTTCCTACAGCCCATCAGCTAGAATCCAAGCCTTCAACACAAGCCTTTAATGCAGTGGGTGGAGATATGGCATTCCATTATCTAGACTACAACAGTTACACACACACACCACCTCTGACAGGTCTGAGTGCGTTGTTTTTTTTAAACTTATTCAAGTAGACACTGAGACGACCTCAAAGGTCAAGGTTGGTGCAATGCAATCTCCGAGAAACCACTAAAAAGACAAAGGAGACTTAGGCAAAGGCCATTAGGGAACACAAGGAAATATTTAAACAAGGGAACAGGAAAAAAGCAAACGGTCAAGTAGTGGACCCGAGTCCATTGGGCAGTGATTACATAAGGGTTGAGTGGTCCAAACCCAATGACGAGAAGTTCAGAATGTTGGCAGAAGTTATTGCCAGAACACTCAAGTACTGACCAATGGTTGTGCATCCATACATAGAGAATAAGATGCACAAGGTCCCAGGCAGGCAGTCTGGCAGGAGGAGACAGGGCAAGCAGCAGGCCCAGCACCAAGCTGGTGGAGAACACATGACATCTGAGCCTGTGGCCCAGGATGAGGGTTCAGGGATGGACTTCAGGGCACAGGACAACAGGAGGGTGCTACTTGAGAATGAATAGGTCTGCTAGTCATACCACCAGGACATTTGTAACACGAGGGCTCCCTCTCATTTCCTTGTTCAAGACTGGTACCCTAGAGTCCCACACCCATGGTGGCAGACATAAGGGGTACCTTTTGGAGTCTGTTCAACTGGTCCCAGAGATCCTGTAAGTACTCCTGATTTTTGAGTTATTTCCAGGATTTCTGGGAGCATTCCTCAGATAACCACCTGTGGGAGATAACCATTTCCAGGCTCCCAGCCAGTCAGCCAGCCACAGAAGGGGGAGAGTGGGAGGCCCCTGCTGGGGTCCTGTTTCTGTGTGCCTGAGCACCTCCCTGGAAGCAGTTACTCAAAGCCCTCCCGGTGAGTAGACTAGGTGAGTTGAAAGGGTCCAAGTCACCTTTTGGCATCACTCCAGCTAAAATTCTACCCTGAGAGGAACTTAAAGCACTGAGCTTGTACCGCACCTTCACTGGGGCCCCAGAGAAGGCACAGGACACACAGTGTCTAATGACAGGGTGGGGCCAGATGGATGGACAAGCCTGTGTCTAGGAGATGGACTTAGAGAGAGAGCTGCTTTTAGACACTCACTAAGGCTAGGGGAGTGGCTACCAGAACACAGAGGCAAACAACACACCCCTCCTCTGGATCCCAGTTTCTCCCTCTTCAGGATAGTAGCTGGACAGGTTGATGCCTGGGGTCCTATAAACTGCTCAGGGGAACCCATGGGAATGGAGCCTTGTGGCGGGGGGTGAGGGTATCTGCAGGTACCAGAAGGCCAGGCACAGATATACTAAGTCTCTTGGTTTTCACAGATCGTGGATCCTCTTCTTATCCATTTGGTCCCCCCACACTCCCATCATTACTGTCTCTGAGGCCCACACATCCCCAAATCCAATCCCCACCAGGCAGGGGTGGCAGCCTAAGCCTCTGCTCAGGCCATGTCCCAGGCCTGAGCAGCACTTATCCAGTTCCTGATATGCTCATAGGAACAGCCAGGACGTCCTGGTAGGGGAACCTTCTCATGACAAAGATGTCCTTCAAAACCCACAAATGTGAGCTTATTTGGAAAAGGGACCTTTGCGGATGGGTGAGATTCTGCCAAGGCTTTTCATATTGGGACATCCTGGATTCAAAATCAAAGGACAAGTTCTCAGAAGAGAGAGGCAAAGACTCAGGGGGAAGGGGTGGGACAAAGGATCTGGAACCTGGAGCCACATTCCTGTGCAGCCTCATGAAGCCTGATGTCCCTTTAAGGCCACCAAGTCAGTAGGAGGGGCCAGAAAGGACAGGGTACAGCTTGCCTTCTCAGCAGGCTGCAGGACACGATTTCCCCAGCCACTGGGCTGACGTGAGCTGGGACAGCAACATGGAAGCAGGGGGCATAGCAAATCCCAGCAGCCCAGCCCCTCAGCCCAGGACACGCCATGCCCGACTTGTCCCCTGTAGGCTGCAGCGACCGCCAGTCTCCGGCATCCCTCTGCCCATGTGTGTACCTGTCTAACCACTTTCTCTCCCGGTGCTTGCCCTGTCCCTTTCTTGGCACTAGCCATGCGATCCTTAGCAGTGGGTCACCACTTTCCGGAATGTGTTTGTCCATCTAGGCTTCCTGCCCCATGCGGGGATGTTTTGACTTGCATGGGGCTTTCCGCCTTTGCCCTGGTTATATAAGGAGTTTTATGTAACCACCAGACTGGCAGAGCTGGGGAGGCCAGGTGTTGTCTAACGTCTCCAGCACTTGGCTGGCTTGGTGCCATGAGCACAGACCCCCCTACCACACCCCATCTCCCCTGCCCTATGCCCACAGTCCTAGGAGCCAAAGATACACAGTGGCCAGTCCAAGAAGCAGGTCCTCCCCATCCTCTCGGAATGACAATGGCCTCAGGTGCCCATAGACTCGTGAGTAAAGGGACAGCTGACACAGCTGGAGCACAAACAACACATAATTGCTAGAATGGACCCCAATCCCCGGGACAGAACTGGGTTGGTGTTCATGATTATATAGAGAAGATACCTGTCCATGCCCCTGCCCCCCAGGAAGGGAGTAGGGAAGGACAGGACCAGGCCCCCCATCAGAGCCTCAGAGACACTAAATAGACACACTTCAGGTTTGACCCATGTGGGGACAGGAGAGAAGTTGGGCCACTTCTCCAATTGCCATCTGTCAGAAGCTTCAAGGGACATTAACAAGCAGTGTGTCTGACTTTTTCAAGAGGTTCTCATGTACGTCCCTAATGGTGAAAACCAAGGGGCCCATAGAGGACAGCTAGGGGACAGAGGCTAAGGCTGGCTGCTCATGCCCAAGGTCAGGGTCAGCTACTGAAGAAGGGGAAACGTGGCAGGCGGCTTCTCTGGACTCCTGCCAGTGAGAGACGTTGCAGAGGGGGCCTAGAAAGCTGCAAAACCACACCTGAAGGGCAAGGAGAGAATGGTGCTCGCACAGCAGGAGAACCCAGGCCTCCAGCAGGCTCTGCTGGGCATGGCAGCCTAGGCATCTGGGCTGGAGGGCTGGACCTCAGCTTGGACAAGACTTCCAGGTGATCCCCAGGAAAAGCCTGAGTTTTTCATATCCCCTGGGTTCACTGGCCTGTCTCTTAAGGTCGGGACATTGGCAAGTACCGCCACAGGACCAAGCCAGCCAACCGCCTGTGTCCCAGGCGGCCAGACTCTGACGTGCTCCTCTGGGTTTGGAGTCAAGGCCTGTGTTTGTTCCCTCTCACCAGGAAGCCAGGGCTTTCCTTCCTGAAGCTGGGGAGTCCACGTTCCTTTTCACTCCCTACAGAGGAAGCCTTCCCTGTCCTCTGGCCAGATATGCCAAGCGCTGACTTCATGGCCTGAGATGAATGCACAGGAAGTGTCCTTACCTAAGAGCCCAGGAGCAGATAAGAGGCTGGAGGAAGGCTCCACAGGCCCAGCAGGCCCCGCAGGAAGCACAGCCATGTCACCCTCTCCAGCAGGGAGGCCAGCCAGCCTCTGCCCAGCACCAGCCCACCTGACCTGGCATCCTCCCAGCCCCCAGTCACTTAGAAGGCCCTTTTATTGGCCTCCTTGGGCTCCTGAGCACACTTGAGAATTTCCAGGGTCAGAAATCCCAGAGATTAGAACCAGCATCCCTCCCTCAACAAATACACACTTGTGTCGTCTCTTGTGTGATCCCTGAGGCCCTGACATGTGGCCTTTGGTCCCAGGTTGGAAAGAATCCCAGCAGTAATGACAATGGTATCAAGGACACCAGGAGCTGGTGGACATGAGCTCACCAGCAAGCTGAAGGACCAGGAGGAAGGGACATAGGCCAGCACACAAAGTGGGAAAGCCGCAGGCATCCTGAGGACAAACGTCCTGTGGGGTGTCACTGGGCTCAGGACGGCAGCCACTGAGGCTACAATGAGGCCATATAGAGTTAAGCGAGACGGAGGAACAGAGGGAGGTGTCATCACCTCTGTGGACTGAGCCACGCCCACTGCCCAAATTCTCCTTCTGAAAGGGGACTCCAAACAGCTCACCCTCGTGTCCACAGTGGAGACAGTTCTAGAAAGAAGTCGGTGGGGCCAGGGGAGGGAACTGGCTTAGAGGATAAAGTGCAGGTTGTGTAAGCATGAGGACCGGATTGCATAGCTCCAGAGCCCGTGTAAAAGCTGCGCATGTGTGGTGGCCACCTGTGAATCCTAGCACTCAGGAGGCAGGGAAGGGGGAGTGGCACCCAGAGAAAGACAGCTAGCTAGAACAGCTGACCTGAGCCCTGGGTTCAAATGAGTACATAGAGTGGAGCGATTGAGTTATACCCGCTGACACCCATCCCCACACACGTGTGCCCATATACTCAAACATACACATGACACCACATAAACATGCTCCCCCAAAGCTCTTAGGTAAAAGTCTCATCGTTTACCTAAGAAGCTGGCATCAGTGGTCACAGCACTATGGTGGCATTGAAGGGGACATCAATTGCCACCAGTATCTGGAGGTGTTCTAGATGTCTGACGCTGCAGGGGAGAGAGAAGAAGCCAGAGCTTTGTATGCACCTACAGTGGGGCTGTCTTGTGCTCAGGAATGGCCTACAGTGTTCCTGCCAGGGTCTAGGGCCCTCATACTCAGAGAGAGCCAGCAAGCTCGTTTACACAGAGCCAAGAACACGGGCTCACTGTTGAAAATCATCTTGGTCGTGCACTCCTGAAGCTGGTGTCTGCACACCAAGGAGCCCTGGGTCAGTGACCTCATTGCAGACTCTTTCAGCACGTGTGACATCACAGCCCTCAAAGCAGCGTCAAGAGACATAAACTTTAAAGCCAGATGGTGCAACTCTAGAAATAAACATGGTCGTCATGGGGGCCTGGGAGACACGGAGGCTTTTCTAGCTGATGGCTCAGTCCCACATGGATGTAGAAGCCTGGGTGGGGGGCCGTGTCTTCTCCTTGGCCCCTCATTTCCGGAAGAACTGGGAGAAGCAAACACTATTATAGCAACTGGGAGCCTGTAGCAAGGACACTGGCCCTTCAGCCCAAACACCAGTCCCTCTGTCCCAGCTGAGCACAGGCCTCGAGGTGCTGATTCACTACGCCTGTGTCAAGGACAGCATGGCTGGGGGCAGCCGGGTGAGGGCAGCTGTGACAGGTAAGGAACACAACACGGGCTGGAGTCACTAGTCCTCGGGAGGAGGTGTGTGCCTCTTCAGGACCAACCAGTCTGGAGGAGGTGAGGCCTGAGCTGTCCTCTTTGGATGCGCATGGGGTAGCGTCCACCAGGGATGGGGCTACCCTCTGGGAGGACAGAGGCGAGGGCACTGGCACACAGAGAGCCCTGTGACTCACGAAGAACAGCACTCAGTGAGCAGGGAGGATGGGTGTGCCTGGGGGTGGGGCTTCTTTGTGATGATGGGGAACCTACTCTTTGGCAGACAGGCTCGAGGTCCTGTCCCACTCCCATGTTGACAAGGGCTTTCCTTGGGACCCAGGAGAGCCAGCTTGGGCCTAGCCCCAGAGCACCCATGCCTAAGTGAAGATCCCTGTTAAAGATCCCCTACCAAGTCAGAAGGAAGGCCAGTGCCACAATCCCCGAGTCAGCCCCAGGGGCCATTCCTCTGTAGAGAACGTTCACAGAGCCTTTCCTTCCAGATGAGTCTTTATCGCAGGAAGGATGCACAGGAACAAGGGAGGACCAGCGGGTTGGTGCCAGTCAGGCCCAGACCGGGGATGTATGAGGATCCACAGAAGGACATGCACAGGCCAGTGTGGCGGGGACATGGTGACATTGGCACTGACGGGAGAAGTAGCAGCTGAGGCATGGCGGCTCTTCAGGGCCTCTCACCTCAGCTCCAAGGCTTCACAGAGGAGTCGTTAAGGGAGGTAAACTGAGAGACAGGAGAAGAAATGAGGCTGGGACCAATGACCTTCCCCCTGTTGGAGCAGGCTCGGGCACCCAGGAGGACCTGTCCTGGGCGGCAGATGGTGTCTTCCATGTCCTCGCATGGTGCTGAGCTGTGGGTGCTCCTAGGCCTCTTCTACGAGGGCTCTAACCCCACGGATGTGGGCTCCATCCTCATGACCTTGTCATGATCCACCTGCCACCACCCTCAACTCGGGGTGAGGGTTTATTTCAATACATGAATTTGGGGACACAGGCATTGTAGCTCTGTTCCTACTGATCCCCGCAGCAAACCACGTGTCTCCAGCCTGATTACTCACGGGGACAGAAAAGGATTTAGACCTGGAAGGAAGCTCAGTTCACAAGTCCAGCTTAGCTCTTCAAATCCCCTGGGCCAGCTGGGAGCAGGTGTCATTCACTGAAACAGTCAGCAGCAACAGGTGTCCCCAGTAAACCTGAAACGCGACATAACTCGGTGTCTGTCTGGCATTCAGTGCCCGTGGCTGGATCCATCTCTGTACCTGCGCCTGGCACATGTAGAGCCCCTTCTGGTCCTATCCTCTGGGGTGTTGGCCCTACTCATCTCCTGGCAGCTTCTTCCTGAATATGCCCAGCAGACCTGGGCATGGAACTTGGAATTGGGGAGGCCAACATGTCTCTTCAGGGAGCCCTGCCCTTATCCAGGCTAGGTCCTGCCAGACTGGCCCTGGCTCCTGCCAGATGCACCCTCTGTCCCTGGGCCACGGGAACCATCATTCCACGGGCAACACCAATGCCACCCCAGGTGCATCCCTTCACCTCTTCCCTCCTATCCTATTCTCTTCCTATTTGCTCCTCTCCTACTGGTCCTCAAAACTCGGTGCACCTGGACGAGCCTGCTGGATCACCAGTCCGGGAGAGCATCGCCAGAGCTGCACACTAAAGCCACAAGGGCGGCCACACTCAAGTGTGGTGCATGGCAGACCTGAGGGCCGACTGTTCTCTGCCTGTCTTCCCAGCCTCCGTGGGCTTCAGGCCCCCTGTATACAGAGGTGCTCACAGGGCTCCCGTGCACAGAACCCATATGGTTGGGAGGCTGATGAGTTTCGTTGTTGAGGGCACCTTGACATACACTAAATTCAGGAACTTACACCTAGCAGCAGCACAGATAGGGAGGGCAGGCATGGCTTCTAGGAAGGAGCCAGTGCTCAGGTGTCAGAACAAGATGTCATATAGGCTCAGGGACCCTGAGGCCCACATTGGCGGCTCCTCCTCCTCCTCCCCCTCCTCCTCCTCCTCTGCCCCTCCTCCTCTTCTTCTGGAAATGCACTCCAATCTTCTCAAGCACAGCCAGTCCTGAACCCTGGACAACTCTGTAAGACATCTGTCACTGGATTGCTCTCAGGTGAACTCCCAAGAGGGACTTAGAGCCTCCCCACCCTCACCTGTCCAGGGTGGAGCTGACAGACACCACACCCCACTGTGTCCTGGCTTACCCTTGTGTTCCTTACTGCTGGTAGCAGATGACTGGGCTCAGCACTCCCTCTGTAGGACATGCAGAACAAGCTCAGAGTGTCCCCTATGATGGAAACACTGGCAGCATTCTACCCACATTTTACTTTTAAAATTCTTCATGTGTAGAGCATGATTAAACAATCACTCAATATATACCCACTCCTGAGACACATCACTCAGCTAACTCATCACATGTCTACCCACAACTCCGTCCATCTGCTCTTCCATCCATACATCCCTCTACACACCCATCATACTCATCCATCTATGCATCCCTCATCCACCCCCCACCCCAACAAATCATCTACCCACCCAACAATCCACCCCACCCACCCAACAATCCATCCACCCACCCACCCAACAATCCATCTACTCACCCATCCACCCATCCACCCACCCAACAATCCATCCACCCACCCACCCAACAATCCACCCATCCACCCACCCAACAATCCATCCATCCACCCACCTCCCACCCATCCAGCCATCTCTCCCTCTACTCATCCAACCATCTAACGTGATATAGTCCAAAGTAAATGACTGTAGCCTTGCTAAGAGATAAGCAGAACAATGATGCCCACTATTAGGAGAGACAGGGGATTAACTACAGCATGTTCTTGCAAAGGACATCATGATCTACCACCAAAATATACTTTCAATTAAGGTCATTAGGTCCCAATATCTACCTAAGAGAAAGGAAAGCATGCCCACTTAAAGATCAGCTCAAAAATGTCCCAGAAAGGTGGAGCAGCCTCATTTACAGTGGCCAGAAAGCATGAGGACCTGAGTGACCATTGGCTGCTGAGTGGAGAGACATCCCTGGCTCCCACACAATGGTGATACTAGCCACACAGGACTGAAGCAGTGACCCCTGCAGAGGGTAGACAAGCCCCAGGATGTCCCGCTCCACGGAAGAACCCAGACATGGAGGTCACTGTCCGTGAATGTTCAGAGCAGGCAAGTTTCAGGAGCCGGAAGCAGCACTGATGGTTGCCAGGGGCAGGGCAGGAATGGGGATTAGCTGCAGACAGCACAGAGGATCACTCTGGAGGGTGACTGTTCTAAAGTAGGTTAGGTGGGGCTTCGTGGCTCAGTCTGTTTACAAAATTCACCAAGCAATACATCAAAAACAGGTGACTTTTATGGCATATAAATTCTACCTCAGTAAAGACACTTAAAAACAAAGGGCTGAGAAGACAGGTTGGTGGGTGAAGTGCTTGCCTGAGGACCTGAGTTCAGATACCCAACACCAACATAAAAGCCTGGTGTGGCAGCAAGAGCCACAAGCTGCAGGCCCATGTGCAGACCTGAAAAAACCAGTGTGGAGAAGCTATCAAGGAAGACATCCTTGGCATTAGTCTCTGGCCTCCACGTGCACCCACACAGGTTAAACACCCCACCACACACACACACACACACACACACACACACACGCACACGCACACGCACACGCACACGCACGCGCACGCACACACACACACACGCACACACGTTCTCTCTCTCACACATACACACACATGTTCTCTCTCTTACACACACATGCACACTTGCACATACACATGCTCTCACACATGCTCACACACACATACATGCTCTCTCCCCCCTCTATCACACACACACACATGCACACTTGCACACATACATGCTCTCACACATGCTCACACACACATACATGCTCTCTCCCCCCTCTCTATCACACACACACATGTTCTCTCTCTCTCTCACATACACATACATGTTCTCTCTCTCTCTCACACACACATGCTCACACACACATACATGCTCTCTCCCCCTATCTCACACACACACACACACACACACACGTTCTGTCTCTCACATACACATACATGTTCTCTCTCACACTCACACACACACACACACACACACACACAGAATGGTACTCCAAATGAAATTCAGATGGAAGGGCAAGCAGGCTCCAGAGCATTTACCTAGGCTGTGGTTGGCAGCCACAGAACACTCCTTCCTCAATGTCACTTCTGTACTCAAAGAAGAAAAACTTAAACAAATAAATAAACAAAAAAGGCAGCCAAGCAGGGCAGCCGCACCCAGCGTCCTGGCTGTGGTGGGAACATTCCGTCTCACCCCTGTGGGTCTCTGTTTGTGCAGGGAGAGCTGTCTGACGCCATTGCCCATAGCTGGCATCTCTGTCCTGGAGTCTCAGCACTATGGCCCAACCCTCCCTCTCCCCCTCCTCCTTCTCCTTCCCCTCTGCGGGCTGTATGTGGGCATTGTGCTGGTAAGCTGATAGACAGTCAGTACTGGGCTAGGCTGTGTCCTTCACCCTCGTAAAGATGCCACTGTCCCCCAATCCCAGAGTAGCAAGAACCTGGGAGAAGCTCCGCCCCCGACGCCCAGCATCCTATCCACAAGGTTCCTCATCTTGACTGCTGCCTGCTGTCCCTTCAGTGGAGAGAAACAAAGACCCTATCTCAAGCCACAAGGCCCAGGGGAGACTTAACCAGGAAGATCAACGGATTGATGGCACTGGGAAAAGTGACGAAGAAACATGAGTTGGGATGCGCATCCCTTTGTCTTTGCAGTGTGTGGTTTACTGGGCTTCGTGCAGGAATGAAGGGGGCAAAGACACAGAGCTGCCTGAACTGGCTTGATGTCACTAAATCCTCTCAGCCGTGATCACTGCCGGGTGAGCGGCTCTTCTGAACCTTTCCAGCGTCTGAACAGCCTGGACCGGCAGAAACACCCACAAACGTAATTAGCTCAGGAAGCTGAGGTGCTGCGTCACCCTCACACGGGTTCTGAAGCTCCAGGGTTTGCTGAGCCTTTTTCATTCCCACGCTTATTTTTAAGCCTTCCTGCCTGGCTGTCTTTCTTGAGGTACCTCTGGGGCTCAAGTAATGTGCACTCTCTTGAAGTTACAGAAGTCCTTAATGACTCAAATTTAAAATACCTTCCCAGACAAATAGATGATTGTTATTTGAGTGATCTACCTATGGACTGGATTGGCTCAAGTTAAATTTGACCTAAGGAGGCCTCCATAGGAACACCTGGGTCAGATTTTGTAGCCTAATGTGCCCAGCTGAGCCAGGTGGCTCTGTAACAAAAGCTCACCCAGCCCAGACCTGGTGGCTGCTGGCCCAATCCATCACAGACGGAGGCTGGGCTCACGCCAGCCTTAGATCTCATGTATGGCAGGCCCCGCCCCATGCCTGTGCCTCCATCCTGCTGTACTTCCAGGGCCTGTTGCCTGCCAGAGCAGGAAACCTTTCTATTCTGAGAGCTACATGGGGCTAGAATCAGAGGAGCCAACCCCGCCTGTTCTCATTTTGTCTTTAGGAACTGATTCTTAACTTTCTTTTTCATACCTGTGTGTGCTGTGTGCATACATATGTGTTCAAGGGCAAGAGGCCAGAGGGAGCCCTGGGGCATCCTGTGCTGTAATTCTCTGCCTTGTTCCTTTGAGACAGACTCTCTCAGAACCTGGAACCAGGCCAGGCAACACCTCAGCAATCCCCATCTCCTCCCCAGCACCGGGGCTAGAGCGGTGCATGGCTTTCCACACGGGTGCTGGGATCTAAGTCCTCATGCTTGCACAGTGGAGCGTTCTACTGGTGGAGCCATCTCTCCAGCCCTGATTTTTACCTTTCTATTAGGAAATTGTCTTGCATTATCATAGAGAAGCATAGAGCAACAACACTGTACCCACCTCACCTGCAACCTCTAACACAGGCCAAGGGCCAGCGTTCTCTCCCCAGTAATCCAAACACCGACCCCGCTACACCCACAGTTCCTTCATTTCAATGATCACTGGGCTGAAGCATCTCTTGATGTAAATTCCTTCTAGAATAATCCCAATACCATGATCACTTCCAGAAGAAGGGCTGATAATTCTCTGCCACACGAGAGCTTGATGCGTACACACACAGGGTATCACCACTGTGGCTTTTGTTCATTGGCAGTCTGACTTCACTAGAAGCCTGGGGTCCGGGTTGTACCCAGGGCTGCACATGACCACCAGATCTCCTACATCTGTTTTTTTTCATGTGTTTGTTGAGGAAGCTGGAGTACTCTCCTCATTCGCAGGTCTGCTCATGGCTTGTGGTACTGTTCACCATAACACTCCATCCCCTGAAAACCAGTGGCTAGTGTACGTGTCTCTTCAGGGGTCATGTGGACCAGGCAGGTCTTGAACTCTCAGAGATCCTCCCACCTTTGCTCCCAAGTGCTGGAATTAAAGGCATGCACCACCACTGTCTGGTCCCTAACCCGACTTTCTTTGTGGAACTTGCCTTTATGATGGCTCACCAGCACAAATGGTAAATCTCGAATCTGCCCCTTCATCAGTTAACGGAATAGCAGGTGTGTTCCTTAGCTGTCTCCAAAGACAAAGAGGTAACTAACTAAACTTACAAAGCTAAACTATGATGAGGAGTAAGAGAAGTGTGCCCCTTGAAGTGAATATGCCCCTACACCTATGTGATGAATGTTTGGATCCCAGTTGGTAGATGGCACAAACTTCAGTAGGACCTAACTGGAGGAAGAAGCTGATTAGGGCACATCCTTGGGGACGTCTGTCTCTTGTCCCCATGATCCCTTTGTGCCAAATGAACTTAGTATAGATGCATACACATGTGGGGGGGGGAGGCCACAGGTAGCTACTGGATGTCTTCCTTGATTGTTCCCACACTATTTTTTGAGACAGGCTCTCACTGAACCTGGCACTCATCTATTTGGCCAGGATGACCGGCCGATGAACTGCAGGGATCTGCCTGTCTCCACCTCTACCCCCAGCACTGGGCTTACAGGCTCCTGCCAGCATGCTTAGCTTTTTACGTGGGTTCTGGGTATCTAAACCCAGGTCCCTTATGCTCACCTACTGGGCCATCTCCCCAGCCCTGCTTTCTAGCCCTCGTCTTCCTTGACTTCCATGATCTTGATCTGTCTGGCATACCTCTCTGGCCATGACGAACTGAATCCCTCTTTAGACTGTGTCCGTCAGGTACTTGGTAAGAGAGAAGTTCAGAGTGAAACAAGCTGTAAAGCAGAGAGGCGTGGGCCGGGTGAGAGGAGTCCGCAGGCTTGAGCCACTGGGGGAGCCAGGACAGGAGGCTTCTGCATGCAGAGGGTAGCAGGAGACCTGCAGGAACCCCGTGGGAAAGCCTTCATGGCAGGAGGTATCTAGCAAAGGTCTGCCGCGGGAGCAAGCCTGGTGCGGCCCAAGCTCGGAGACGGAAGGACTGTGGTTAGAAAGGGAGAGAGGGGAGCCTGGCAG